GCGTACTCTATTACCTAGAACCCACTAGGTTTCGCTTGAAAAGCGAGAGGACACTTGGGAATGTTCCCTCGTGAGATGCTCTTGAATATATTTTGATATGTAGAAAGTGAGATATTAGTTAAAAATCGGATGTGTCCTGTTAGTTATTTTCATGGTGACAAAGTTTTTTAGTGCATATGATACGTTGTAAAAGTCTGTTCGATACGCGTTGAATATATATGGTTGTTTGATGAATTGAAAAATATCGGTCATAATTTATGATCATGAACTAATTAATTTTTTTCATTGCCTTCAATCGTTCTGCTGTGTAACCGAAGTGAGAAAATCAATCTGGTGTCGCTTATTGGTTTGTCTCACCTTGATTGTTTTCAAATGCGTTCCGTCTCATACTGAATCCTTATTAGTTCATCAATGAAGATATCTAGGCTGATAAATTTATTCTGTTAGAAATTTTATATTCTTATTAAAAGAAAAAATTTTTCAATTCGTTTGTACATTCGAAACTCGACTGAATTCTCATGTCAATTGTGACATACATTTTTTTTTGATTTCTCTCTTGTATAGAATAACGATCATTTCGATTATAAACCATCTCATCTAATTTTTTTCTGAAGATTATTATCAATTATTTAATTTAATATTCAAGTTGACATTTGTAATCAATTAAAATTTCAACCTCATGAAATCTGATTGAGTGATATTCAATTGATTAAACTTCATAATTTAGGCTACATGAAATATACTTTCAAGCTAATATCAATGCTAAGAATATAGATATATCGGTGTGAGAGAATCGAGAATCTACATTGACAATCAACTCTTTACATCATCCTAGTTTTAAACATTAATTCAAATTTATAAATCTTAGTTGGATAATTCTATTTAAAAACTTCTATATCAAGAATCAAATAGATTAATCAATATAATTCGAAAAGAAAATAATTTCGAAGAACAAAAAATACAGACGTTGAATAAAAACTATATTCATAGCATGAAAATTGTCAAATACAAATGTGATATTGTCATAGATAAAATAATTCTAGTATGTTATTAAACTTCTTTTTTTTTATCATTAACTATGAGATTTTGATAAATTGAAACGAGATCTTCTGTTGATTTTTTCCATGAATATTGACAAGCATGTGTTCGACATAATTGTCGTAAGTGTTTATCACTTTGTTGAATATATTTGAGTGCATTGATAAATTCATTGTCATTATCTAGATCATATTCTAATTGAGGAAAATATGGTTTATATAACTTTTCAAATACGGAACATTTTGGATAGATAATAGGTGTTCCACATGATATTGATTCAAGTAATGTAAAACCATATGATTCATTTAAACTTGTACATATAAATGCCATTGCACTTTGATAATACTTATATAAATCTTTGTAATCAATTCGACCAATAAATTGAATATTTTTTATTTGTTTTTCTTTGACATATTTATTTAATGCCTTTTCAGTTGGACCAAAACCAACAATATCTAATGTATATTCATCTTGTACCAATGTAAATAAATCAATTAATCGAAATAAATTTTTTTCTGGTGCTACTCGTCCAATATATATCAATTTATTTTTAATAAAATTTTCAGAATATTGAAATAAATCAGTATCAATGCCTGTTGATAAAGCATTTCCCTGATTAAAATCATTACAAGCAAATTTGAGATAGATGAAATTGTGATG